AAAAAAAAAAAAAAAAAAAGAGGAAGGATTTCATCCAGAGCCTTCACATTTTCATTCATGTTTGACTTTTAACAAAATCTTGCATGAGGGGAATTTAAAATTAAGTTTTTAATGTTTATTCTCCTATTCAAAGAATGTTTGAGTTTGCTGGGTACTCTCAGCTGCTAGGAGGCCATGGTATCTGGCCGTGTCCCTGGGAGTGAATGCTGTAGTAGGGAGAAACTGATGGTTATCAAACACATGGCCAGCCTGTAGGATGGTGGGAGTGGTGTGGAGCCTGCGTGGAGTGGCTTAGGGATTGGCGAATACCCACAGAAGAAGGTGGGGAGCTGCTGCTTTACTCCCGTGGTCCTGGCAGCCACAGGGACTCAGAGATGCGAGGGAGGGAGCCTTGGGCTCGCTGAGATCTGCAGGTCCCGATGGGGAGGGCAGCCAGAGCATGGGCTTGGCCAACAGGAGCAGGAGGCCAGCGTGGTTTGGGCCTCTGTGAGTATTTGATGGATGAACGAGCGAATGAATGAATGAATGAATTCATGACTCACCTAGACCATTTGATCTCTAGACAGTCGATGGATGAGAAAGCAGAAGGCTATGGAGCTGGGGGTTAGAGTGGCTCAGGGAGAGACTTACGGCCACGTGAGAGCGGCCTCTCTTACTCTGCTGAGATGCAAGCCAGTGAAGGCTTTTAGACAGAGCAACCACACAGTCTGCATGCTCCCATCACTACTGCTGCATGTGGGGATGAGCCACAGAGAAACTGGGGCAGGGACCAGCTGGCAGCTGAAGGCCTTTGTGTGGTGTCTGCCTGCACAGTGGACCTGCTATCCCAGGAAATCCCTTTAGTGTCAGCATTTCATCTTTCAGCTTCTCTAGACACTGAGGTTAATGAATTAACACTGCTGCAAAAATAGGAAAAATATTTCTCATCAGCCCTGATGTCTGATGTAAAAATCTCTATCCCCATCTGTAACGACATGTCTTTCTATATTGTTGGTAGAGAAAGATTATATAGTCAGATGATGTATATAATCTGACACCTGATAAAATAAACATATAATCTCATAAAAGAACGTTGTGTGATATGTGTGGTATGCTGCATGTGATGTACACTGTGGCCCCTGAGGTTTGGAGAGAGTGACTGGGCCCCTTGCTGGTGGCAAAGCTGCTCTGAGCCCCAGATCCGTGTGCCTCCTGAGACCACTCAGCTGATATGTTCGATGCCCAAGATTTGGAAATATTCGAGGTAAAAAATCATTTTTTAAAAAAGGAACCAATAGAAAAATGGTGAGAATCACAAAAAAAATTTCTTTCTACATAGAAGAATCCACCAAAATCCATCAACTAGTCTGTTCCATGATTGGCTTGTCCCTGGAAAGACTGGGGATGTGAGATGTCTTTCGGAGTTCTGGATCAGTAGATTTTCCAGTCACCAGAGCTGTGTGTTACAAGAGCCTCTAGCATTACGGTTATAAACATAATCAAGCAATTCTATTTACTTTCAGATGAGAAAACTTCATTCATAGAGAACAGAGAAATTGGTAAACGTTGCCAAAATATGCCATTTTCCACACTGTTCTAAAACTGCTTATGGGAGAGAATCCGCTGATTAATGGAATTATCTGAAAATACATTCTTTACCCAGTAAACTACTGGCTATGTTTTGTGTGTGTGTTTTTAAAGTACTTTAGAAGCTACGCAGGCCGGGCGTGATGGCTCACGCCTGTAACCCCAACTTCAGTGGATCACTTGAGGCCAGGAGTTTGAGACCAGCCTGACAATATGGCGAAACG